TGCCTGGTGCCTGGTGCTGGTGCTGGAACTCAATTCGTTTCGGTCTGGTCGAAGCGGTCCAGAGCTTCTATAGGGACTTCCTGCTTCCCCACCTCTTACTCCCCTCCCCAGTGACCCACCCCCCGGTGACCGGGAGGACGAAACCTCCCTTTTCAATTCCGGACATTCTATTGGGCTTGCCGGAAGCACCGCCCCCCACCCCTTTTTGCCGCCCCCCGCCCTCCCTGTCCCACACCCCGCCTCACGACCCCCTCCCTCGAGCACCGGAGCCGGCAGCGAGGCGCCCGGTTCCTCTTCCCCGCCTTCCTTCACACCTATTGCCTTATGCATTGGAAATCTGGGGCTTACAGCCGGGCCTAGGCGGACGATGCGAAGCGTTTAAAATTAGAGAGAACAATCTGACGATCCCGAGCCCCACACTCTTCAATCAACCCTTTTCGCAAACTTCTGCCAATCGGCCGTATCGGGTAGCGCCAAAAGGCTCGGCTCTTCTCCCAGCTCACCTTGTCGGAGCTGATGCTCAATGAAACTTATATCACGGCTGGATGCCTGGGGTTGTAGAAGGGGCTTGGGGATTGTGGCATCCCGGGACTTGCATTGGCCAAGCACAGATGACGCAGTATCCAAGTGTTGCGTGATGTTGTGCGGGCTTCCAGAAATTTTCAGCAATGCAGTCACACATGTTGTGTTTGGGGACCAGTGTGTAACTCACCGTGGAAAAATCTTGCATTGCCAAGACGAACATGCTTCGACGAAGTCGAAATCCTCCTCCTCCTCCCCCCTTCCTCCTCCTCCTCCTCCTAACCCTTGCTACCTCGTCCTTGTCTTTGCCGGATGGTCGTCTCGTCGCCGCCGTCGTCATTTCTTGTTGGGGTTTCATTATCACTACCATCATCCTGGTCACCATCGATATCCTCACCATCAACAACCAGTCAATCGCCATCTAAATAAACATGTTCATGGCACCTGCACCACCACCATCGCCATAATCATCAACATCACCATCATCACCACCACCACCACCATCATCAACATCACCATCATCGGCACCAGGACCAGCATCATCGCTGTCACGATAACCAGATCGACACCATCATCAACAACAACAACACCTGCAGTCCTCCTCATCGGGCGCGCTTATTGTGCGAAGGACCACTACATCGCAGCACTGAACTGATGAGGGCACTCGAGCTAGTGAAAAAAGGGCCTTCCACGGCTTCTTGAGCTTCTGGGTCTCATCCTCTGCATCGGTGACCTGGAACTTAGAAGTTTGTTGCAACAATGCTTTTGCAACCTAGTCCTTAAGACAACCATCTCCGCACGACGAACCGCTATGAGAAGAACCGGCCTATCCTCTGACAAGTGCCGTTTGCAAACCCTGAACATTTCTCGGATCGGAAGAGCTCTTCCCGATGTGGACCGAGGCCCACTAGCAGACTGGACAACTCAATGACGACTCAAGGTTCACGACCGTCATCCAAGAGCTATTACAGACAGCCTCCGTGTAATATGTCTAGGCAGCGTCCATTGGAAAAATTCGCCATGCCCTCGACAGAAGCTATGAAGATTGGGCCTTGGGTATTGGGTGTGGGTTTAGGAGGCTCAGCCGAACCAGATAGCATGACACTGACATCTCAAACCCTGAACTTGTCTTACACCCTGAGGGTGCGGTTTAAGCTTGCAGATCGGGACAGGAAGGCCCAAGTTTGGGGCATACAAGGACCAGGAGCTCTAAGACTTTAGGCCTGTCGTCTTGACAGCAAAACCCTAAATTTTCAACCCAAATCCCTAAGCCCTGATTTCTCAACCCCAAAGGATTCAAGCCGTGACCCACAACCCCAAATATGAATCCGTCGACCCGACATGACTGGGTGGAGAAGGCCTCGCGTATGAAGAACTGCGCACTCTCTGTACTTTGCCTGGGGTCAGAGCCGACATTCAGGTGCTGGGCGGTCTGAAATGAGAATAATTAAGTGCTACCGTTAAGCGATTGTCCGTCTATCGCTCAGGCTAGCCCTTTGGGTCGCGGGCTTGTGGGCCGAAGGGAGGGAGGTGGGAGTCGGGGTTCGCAAGATGTAGCTTTTAGTGCCTAGGCTCTCCGGCACCGGCTTCTCGAGTTTTTGCACCCGGAAAAACCACCATCACGTGGCAGCCCCTTTAGGTGAGTGGGCCTCTATAATGCGTTTTTCAGCTACTACAAACATTTCGGGGGTCTCTTTGATTCAATGTTGTTTCTCTTTGTTTCCTTTCTGCGTATGGTCAATCTTAAGGCACCCACAATTATCTTCCTTGAAGTCCGAAGCTCTCCCTAAACCCTAAACCCGCCTTAACCCTAAACCCTAAAACCTAAAATCTTAAACCCACTGTACTATCTCTGTACTACTACTGTACTAGTACTGCACTACTGTACTGTACCTAGCCTCAGACTTAGTCAATTGTGCAGTGGAGTGTAGGTTTTAGTCGTGGTAAGTATCTTGGAGTGATCGGGGCTTGGCTTCGAGCTTTGGTGATCCCCAAACCCCCCGACCCGGGCTTTCGCATAGAACCGCAGACGCTCCGCCTGTAAGGTTTGAGGGTTCAGGGTTTATTGGTGGGCCGGTTTCGAGATGAAGGGTCCAAGGATTTCGGGGTTGAGGTGCCAGGGTTTATTGGCTGGCGGGCTTTATAAGTCTAAGGGTTTAGAGCTTTAAGGTTGAGGGTTTCAGCTATACCATACAGGTTGTGGGTGGGCCGCCACATTAACTCTTATCAAACGCAGGATCTGCAGGGAAGCACCGGCCCTGAGCCCCGGCCCTGAACTACTCATCTCAACGCCAAGCAAGCCCACCCTGAAATGCTATCGTTGTTCAGGCAAATTGTTCATCAGGTGACACTGCGTAAGACTCCCAAGCGTGGACGAGGAGAGAGAACGGCGCTTGCAAAAACGGAGTCTTTGGTTCAGAGAGCCTTTTATGTTGCAGGGCACACCTTGTGACCCCCTTCGGACGAAAGCCTCCTTACCCGAAATGTTTTGCAGAGCGACTACATCTGTAGAGTCGGCGGTTTTTTGGGGTAACATACAAGATACATGATATAAGCCATGAAGCATCAATATTAATTGCCATCGAACACTCCTAGGCTGGTGCCCGTTCCCTTACAAAGTAGAACATCCGAAATTGCGCAGACCTCGATTCCCAAGCAAACGTTTGCATCTCGATCCGAAATTCAGCCGCTCTTCAGTCTTGGGTGGTGGACGTCTGGGTCAGTGGCGTGCAGAATTCGTGGCTTCAGGTGACGGGTTGAGGCCAATAGATTCGGGATCGGGGTATAGGGTTTCAGGTTTTGAAACTCACCCTGCTGAAAACCGGGCACCCAGCTGGCCATGCTCCAAGGTGACTGTGAGGACCATCTACAGTTGGGGGCTCAGGTTGCGTGTTGGATGATTTACAATACACTGATGATCAGGTGCAAGTGTTGCAGGGCCAAGGGTTTGCTGTTATTCGGGTCTTTGGTATCAGGCTCTCTGGGATTATAGCAGCAGGCCATACGGGTACTTTTTGTGGCGCTCAATCTGTCAAGATTGCCGGATATCTGGGGCATGGGATTCCAGCTGTCTAGACACCCTCCATGCAGGATATAGGCAAAAACTACATATAGGAATGCATGAGCTTCCAATTGTACTTACTTGTTGGTTTAGGTGTCTAAGCATTTGGAGAAACTCGGTTACTTCGTTGTTCTACGTCTTCGCGTTACATACGATGTACACCGTACATCCATGGTATGGTATGTTCTTGCGTGCCTGCGTGTTGCCGTCTTTCCCGCCCCCGGTCCCTGTCCATGCATCTGCATGTGTGCATGCAAAACCAATTCGGATGTGTAGCTATATCTATCCAAAACCACGTACAAACAAATACCTTATGCTGTACAATATACACACATACATACACAGCTAAACATGTGTGTATATATATGTATATGTACATACATACAGACATACATAC